AAAATAAAATAAAATAAAATAAAATAAAAATAAAAATCATAATTGGTTTGAATGGTGAAAAGGCCCTTTTATTTCATCTCACAAAACATCCCAGCCCAAATGGCAGTTTATACTTTATAAAATGTCACCTCCTATGTGATCTTGTTTGCTCACTGCAAGCAGCCCTGTGAGGAACAAGGATGGCAATATCCCCACTTAACAGAGCTTGAACTCAGGGCCAACAGGATGAGCAGAGGGATGAGCACAGGCCCCATGTGCTGCCGGTGGCAGAGCTGGGGGAAGATCTCCTTTCTCCCGACATCCAGCCCTGCTCTATCTTACACCTCACTCTGCCTCTCATGCCCACATTTGCTGCAAAACCCCCAAGGCCTGGCAAATGTGGCTCACACAGGCTCTGTCTCTGCCTTGTGAGGACATGGCTGCAGCCCTGATTTTGTTAAGGGGATGGAGCCCAAGTCCTCTTGGTGCTTGGTGCTCACTGATCCTTCCTGTTGAGGAACCTCCACACCCCTGGCCAAGTCAAAGTCAGATGTGCTTAGAGGGCAAGGGATGTATTTTCTACAGGGGCCATCAGCAATTGCCACTCTGGCTACACCAGACGTGCACAACCTTGGTTTCCACTTGGGAAGTGATGACAGCTGAATGGCCAAGCTGCCCAAGCAAGCGGCGTTCCTGAGGCTAACAAGGCCTGCTTGCTGCTTGGGGCAAGAGGAAGGGTGTCTCTAGAGCTTTACAATTCCTGAAGCCTTTGGCTGACACTGTGGGACTCTGTTTATTCCTGCTTAGGACACTGCACAAGACTGTAAAGCAGTGGCTGATAGAAAAAAATCCTTTGAAGAGTCACTCCCATTCATCTCCCTTCTCTAATACTTTTTTTTTTTTAGATGGAGTTTCACTCTTATTGCCCAGCTGGAGTGCAATGGCACGATCTCGGCTCACTGCAACCTCACCTCCCGGGTTCAAACGATTCTCCTGCCTCAGCCTCCCAAGTAGCTGGGATTACAGGCGTCGGCCACCACGCCCAGCTAATTTTTGTATTTTCAGTAGAGACAGGGTTTCACCATGTTGGTCAGGCTGGTCTTGAACTGCTGACCTCAGGTGATCCGCCTGCCTCAGCCTCCCAAAGTGCTGGGATCACAGGTGTGAGCCACCGCGCCAGGCCTCTAATACTATTAATAATTCAATATTCAAAAAATTTACCATTATCATTATTACTATCTCTACTATGAATGAACATTGTACAGTGCCTGACATAAAGTAGGCACTCAGACTGGTGAATGAATGATGGAATGGATGAGAACTGTCCCCATGAGGCTAGGGCCTGATGGACCCCTTCTAGTTCCACGATGAACCCCATTTCTGTGGCAGTCCTTGGCAGGCTGAACAGCAGGTCCTAGCAGAGGTCAGGAAATACATACATGAACAAGACATTGACCCTGTCCTTGTAGTCCCTCACACACTCTGAGCCACCATTTCCTCCTCTGTAAAATGGGAGGAGGGTTAGTTTTGAATTTTCAACATGCCATCCTTGGGCTGAGCCACGGAGTTTAGGATTTTGGTAACTGGGTCCTCAGAGTCTCATGAAAATCCAACCTGAGCCTTTCCAAGGCTGTACAGGCTTGCTAATCTATTCTTTCTTGTGGCTCCTATTTCACATCTCAGAATTCTAACACTGGTTCTCTCCTGCTGATTAGACACTCTTACTATAAAAAATTTTAAAATTTAAATTAAAAAAAAAA